ATAATTAGCATAACCAGGTTAGCTATCCAAGTAGGACACTTTACCAGGTCTCTAAACCTAGAGATTAAAAACAAGAAGATTTTTTTTTAAAAAAAGAACCCTTTCTTTATTTTCTTCATCTTCTAGTCCTGGAGAATGGACATGCTTCTGAAAAGTTTTAAGTCTTGATTTTAAGTAAGAAAAGCAAAAGTTGCCTTAGGAATACGATCTGTGAAGCAGAGGCAGAGAGCATCCCTTCTCCGGGCCCAGCCAGATTACAAAGCCAGGAGACGTGCAGGCCCATCAGTCTGAGACATAAGTTTCTGCCTCAACATTCTAGGCCTCATGACCTGGCTGTCAACCTAAATGCATTTGGAAGAGGAAAAGGAGGTGGCTCAGCTTCTCACTCCATTCCCAGTTCAGCTTCTGGACAGGCTAAATTTTCCACATCCCTTGGAGGTATTTTTTCACCTTCCCAGGAAGAAAATGACATTTCCAAGTGAGGCCAAAAACATATATATCGGTTCAAAAGCCAGACTGGCTGCTTCCTCTCCTAGGAGGAACTGTTCAAGAGGTGGCTCTGTGTGTGTGTGTGTGTGTGTGTGTGTGTGTGTGTGTGTGTGTCTGTTTGGGGGAGACTGGCACTTGCTCATCTCTTTGAATCCCAGGTCGGGTGTAAGGTAGTTCTTAATGCCCAGTAAATTGACAGTGCAGTGTCCTCTTGGGCTGGTGCGACCCACACAGGTGGCGGTTGCCTGGATGGCAGAGAGTCATCAGGGGGAGTTTCCTCATAAAACTCCAGGAATGCTCTCAAATCTGCAGACGTGCTTAAGAGACGGAAAAGAGCGTGCAAGTGATTGAGCGAAGGGGAAACGAGAAATATCATGGAATGAGCCAAAATAATTCCAGAACATGGGATTGGATCAGGAGAAAACAGAAAATCTAAAACCTCCCTTGCTAAAATCAAGCGGATCCTGGCTTGCAGTGCTTGCCCCGCGCTCCGTCGGTCCGCGATGGTCCGCTTACGGGCCGCGTCTCCGCTCGGGCCGAGCGCCGAAGGCTGCAGCTGGGAGAGGGCGTCTGCGCCTTCTCTAGCGCACCTGCCCTGGGCCCCGGCAGACCGAACGCGGACTCCTCCACCTGGCTGCGCAGCACGGTCCAGGCAGGCAGAGTAGTCTGAGACGATAGTGGATGGAGAAAGAGACGGGAAGCCCCTGACCCACGAGGCGAGGCCGCCTTGGGGATTGGGCCCTTGGAATCTGGAGCGGGGGGCGCACTTCCTGGACGGTTTACTGCGTATGACTGGGCCCGGAGTCCAAGACTTCCTTGCTCAGGGTCACGCTCCCCGGGCAGGGCGTCCAAGGAGACAAGCTGCAGGGAAGTGAAACTCAACAGAGGACAGGAAGCGGGCGGCGCACCGAGGTTCAGAGACCAGTGGAGGGAGGGGGGAAATGCGGAAATCCAGCTAGACACCTGTCCCCACACCCCACCCAACCCCGCGCACCACGGCGCCCGACCGCGGAGGCACATCTGTGTTTGCAACTGGCAGTCGCGTGGCTGCGACTGCAACACGCCGGACTCTGAGCCTCGGAGAGCCGCAGAGCCTAGGAGTGGCCGGGACCTTGGGAACTTCCCCGAGATGGGTCCGGTTTCAGTCTCGGCTCTCCAGTGCCTGTGAACTGGTGCAGAGATGTGCGCGTGTCCCTTCCTGAGCCCTGTGATTTCCGCACGCCTGTGGGGGCACGCTATACTCTGCAAGCACCTCCCGGGAAATACCGGCGTGTGTCCCCCTCCCCCAGCAAACGCCAAATGCGGAGAGGGGCTCCGAATCCGCTCAGGGAGCACGCTTGGAGATCGCAAGCGCTAGGCGCAGGGTCAAACCCAGGCATTCTGCCCCTGACTGGGGTAGCAACCGGTTGGTTTCCCTTTTACCCTGTCTTTAGGACCTGTGGTCTTGCCACTCGGAGCTCAGGCCACCTGCCCGGACTTCACCGGACCAGCGCAGCTCCAAGCCTGCGTGACCCTGTGACCTTGTCTCCTCCGCAGCTGTGTGCAGACATTTACGCCCATGGCCTCAGCCAGCGACCTCAGCTGGCTCGGCAGATGGGTGAGGTTATGGAATCTTAGAATCTTCCATGTGAGAAAGCTCACACACGGAGAGAGTTAAGATACATCTGAAAGCTTGAAAATGCAGCATTGAAATAAAACATTTCTCAGTTTGCCTTGGCTGAAGGCAAAAACTCCGGGCACCCTTCCCCTACCACTTCTCGCCAAAAAGGTCCTGTGGGCAGACTGATCAGCACAGCCGCCCAGTCCTGAACAGTCTGCCATGAACACACCTACCTGGATCGCCCGGGCAGTAGCTCAGCCAAGACTGGCTTTCCTCGTGATTGTGTGATTAAGTTAATGACCATACAAGAGAAAACACAGGGGAAGCTCACCAAGCATCTACATGTATCCCTCAAAAAATATGATTCCAGGCTATGAGGAAGCCCTTTACAAAAAGCAGTATTTGCACACCTTTTTCTAGACCTAAGTTCATCTCTGAATCCCCAACGGGTAATGAAGCCACCACAGTGAAAAGGAGATTCTGGAAGGATTGGACAGAAACGAAGGGCATTAAAGTCTTTTTTGCAAGTTAGGCCCCAGACCACCTCTGTTTGTTTGTTTTCAAGAAACTTTTGCTCCAAAGATCCACTAGTGTCCCAGGCATGGACAATTTAGTAGCCTTCTCAGGCATTGTGATTTAAGGATCTCTCGAGGCCCATCTTCCATTTGCCCCCAAATATCTTTCTCACTTCTTGCCATCAAATTTGCTTCACAACAAGTCTTGGTCTTTTCTCTAGAAAGCACTCTTTAGATTTAATTGAAGCCTGATTAACCCATTAGAAAAAGCAACTCCCCAGTACTAGAAGTACTTTATAGATAGCAGAACCTGCCTCGCTTATCCTACAAAAGAGAAAACCAAGACGCAGGTAAGTCAAATGATGCCAATAATGATGAAGGGTCATACTGGTCATGAACAGCAGAGTTAGAACTGGAATTGTGGACTGTTCTCCTCATCACACTCTGCTGGGGATTAGTGTTTCAGATCATCCAACTGTTGCCTAGGAAAATCGAGAGCAGGCCTCAAAGAAATATAGCACCAAAAAGCACTCAGATGATCTTGAGAAAATCAACCTGCTTTTTCACCAACCTGGGTAACACCAAGTATACATCTCTTTGCCCTACCCTGGTCTTTACCTGCTCCCTGCCCTAATTGTAATTTGTTCTGTAGTCAAGATAATGAATGTTTTATAATCCTTTTAAGGAAAACCATTGCAAGCCTGCAAAGAGACCTTGTGTAAGTTTCCCATTTCAGATCTTTTCACAAGTGTCCTCCTTCTGACATAGGGGAGGATTGACAAGATGTGAAGGAAGGAGGAAAAAACAGAAAGAACACCTCTGTGATAGATAAACCAGTGTAGTGTCCACTACTAGAGCATCCACAGAATGACTCTGAAGATGCCCATGGATTAAGTGCATGCTATCCTAAGACTTAAGGTCATCGTTCACTTGGTTTTGCATCTAATGGTTGCTGGACATACCACATACACTTACATATATGTACATTCTATGTAACTAAAAATTGTCGTCAGGATATGAAGATACAGAGGAACTTTTTATAAGAGGAAGGACAGGGAGAGGAGGAAAGATATCAGGTTTTTCTGCATCGTAGTGCTCCAAGATTAGTTTTTTCCAGATGCTGTGCAGCTGCTCAAAACTTTAGAAGAAAAGCTGGGCCCTGCAATACATAGGCTACCGTGGTCATTTCTCCTTGCTTTCTAAAGAAACTCTCCATAGGGTCTCTTAATGGGTAATGACAAAATGCTGATGGCTTCTACAGCACAAGATACTCTTCCATGCAGGCCTCACTAGCAGAACCTAAAGCCAGCTTTTCATCTGATCTCCCTGATCCAGGCCTAAAAATGATCTCTGGCCACTTGTGAAGATGCTAATTATTCTGCTGCTGAAATAAAATGCTCACATCCCACTGACAGGTTAGCTTCACAGCAGGCATCTTTGTCTAAATGATTTGTCCTTCGATCAAGAAGCCCAACGCTTTCTTGCTAAAGATTTTTCAAATAATAAGCAAAACTTGTTTTCTCCCTTTTAGGCTCAAAATTGGCTTAGAGTAAATAAATGCAAGTGGAGCAGAGTTTTCCAGCCCTCTCTTCTGCTATCTCTTCAGGGATTCAATGAAAATAGATGGTATGTACTCAAGTGTGGCTCTTAGCTACAAAAATTATTTAAAAACACTTTCCAAATAATTGCTTTGAAGAAAATAGTCATTTATTGTCAAAGCATCCAACATACTGGGATATCTATAAAGTTTAATAAATCTTTCCAGGGATAAAAGAAACACATAACTATTCAGACTCCATTTCACTGGCACAAAATTACACTTTGTATTAAAAGGAAATACATATTTACATAATGATGACATTCTTCATTGAAGTCCATAATCATTTCATGATACATGCACTTTCCCCTGGAAACTTAAATTGAATGGTGACCCTTTTTTATTAGTTTTGTTTATTTTTGTAAGAACACAAACTGTCATCGAGAAATGCAGAAAGCATCTCAGCCTCCTCCTTTATATCTAAAATAAATTTTGCCCTTACATATAATTATTACATCTAAACTGTAAGTGCTTAATAATTTAAGTAGAAACGTATGACAAATGCATCAATATGTTGCAATATATGACATTTTTAAAAATGTACCTTTGTTTTTGGGAAAGTGAAAATGCGTGCATTCAAAAGAAAACCCGTCAAATAACCCACCCAATCAAAAATCCACCAACTTGTCTCACGTGTGTGTGTGTGTGCGCGTGTGTGTGCGTGCGCTCGTGGTCTAGGTCTCGGGTAAATATTTCAATGAGAAGGCTGGGGGGGAAGCACATGTGTGAGTGTATGTGTGTGTCTGTCTCTCTGGGTGCAATGTTTCAGATAACAAGGAGGTGGTGGACGTCCTCGCATGTTTATTCCTGCAGGTGGCTTGACTGTGCGTGCGCGCGCGTGGAAAGCTAGGGTCCTTTCTGTGTCAATTATGCGAGGTCATGTGCCTGGAGAGGTGGTGGCGCTCCCTGAAGGACTCGTTGCAAATGGGGCACTTGAGTTTCTCCTCCCGCCGCCGCTTCACCAAGGGCTCCATGGCATACTCCTTTTTGTGATGCGACCTCATGTGGTACACCAGGTCGGAGGTCATGCGGAAGGAGGCATTGCACTTGGCGCACCAGTTCTGCGCGGGCAGACACAGCGAGGTGAAGGAGGGCGGCAGCAGCGTGAGCGCCGAGGGCAGCTGCAGCTGGAGGGGCCCCGCGGCCGCCGCCGCCGCCGCCGCCGCGGCTGCGGAGCTCTTGGGCCAGAAGGCGGTGGCGTAGAGAAAGGGGCTCTGTTTGGGCAGGCCGCCCCCGCCGCCGCCGCCGCCGCCGCCCGGCAGGGCCCCGCAACCTCCGTTCAGATCCGCCGCTCCCTGGAGCTTCACGGCCAGAGGATCGCTGGCGGCGGGGTAAAGTCTGGCGGGGCCCACACCGTCGCCGGGGTGGCACGGCTCGAGCGCGCTCAGCTTCTGGCCCAGCACCAGCGGCGACAGCTGCGAGAAGGAGCGCGCCGGCTGCGAGAAGGCGCTTTTGCGCTCGTCCGACGCCGCGCCCTGGCCGCCGCCCGCCCC